GTTATTAATGTGTCCTGGGCTGCTCCATCCAGCCCTTCCCCCATCCATCTGCTTCTCATCTTTTGGCCATCCCTCCAAGCATCTTCTGGGCCTAGTCACATATGTATGCAGGAAGGAGAGAGATAAGGGGAAGAGAGCAGGAGAACAAAGGAAGCCTAACACCTATAAAAAGGCAGAAGAGCCTCRCTTCTTGGGATACCAGGATACCAGCTATGGCCCCCTTTTCCCTCCTGGGAGAAGTCTATGTTACCCCTTTTTAAATCAACACTGCTTTATATGCTTGGCTCAGCATGCTTCTCTAATTCTCTAATGTTATACTTTCAACACGTGAGGAGCAGAACTCGTCACCAGTAATCAGCAGTATTGTACCATACAGAAAATCATTGAAAAAATCACAAAYTCTTCACCATTTAAGCAGTCAATTGCTTTTGTTGGGTAAAATCAGTGCCCAGATAATGTGCAAAATTGATATTTTTTGTGCTTGTGAAAAAGTTTTTGCTTCTATAATCTCAATGCCACATCAAACTTAGCCTCCTATTTTGACAACTGATCATCTTCAAGATGCTTTCCTACAACAAATGCTGTGGACAACTTACAATTTTTGTCATATAAAAGGAAAATTTAGGTATCAAATACTAAAAAAAAAAACCTAAGGTGAGTTTAGCTGTGTGTGTGTGTGTGTGTGTGTGTGTGTGTGCGCTGAGGCTAGTTTTGAATTTGTAGTCCTCCTGCCTCAGCCTTCCAAGCCATTGGAATTATAGGCATATGGCAAACTTGATTTTAGTAATGTTCTAGAACTGTGGGGAACTTGAGTTTTTGAAGCTGCAAATAATCAGAATAAGGGACAAAACATTTTAGAATTACCACAGTGAAAGTAGTAATACTCCCTTAAAATCTTGTTTGAAACATTAAGATCATGTTAACAAGTGAGGAACAGTGGTGCACGCCTCTAATCCCAGCAACTAGGGAGGCTGAGGCAGGAGGATCATGAGTTCAAAGGCAGCCTCAGCAGATTAGCAAGGCACTTAACATCTCTAAATAAATTAAAAAGGGCTGGACAAAGGAAAAAAAAAAAAAAACATTAAAAACCTCCTTCAGCACTACCAAACCCAGCCCGCTTCAGTGCTTTAAATTCTGACAAGCTGTCAATGTTCTTTGCAGAAAGACTGGGCTGATGTTAATTCAGAACAAATTGTGTCCCACAGAACAAGCAGAGTTCTTTGGTCATAATTGAGACCTGATGCACATATTTATAAGGCYATAAGGCAGTATTAGTGTGGGAATAGTTTTTTTTGAGTTCTGACCTGGCAAAACCCAAGTAATTTTGGATCTCCTACTATAGCAGAAGGATCAAGTTCAAGCCTGGGCAACTTTCCTGAAACTGTCTCAAACTTTTTTTTTTTTTGGTGCTGGGAATTGAATCAAAYTTAAGGGTTGGTAGGGCATGTAGGAAAAAGTGGTAAAGTACACGTAGAGCCATAGTACTGCCAAAAAAAAATAATAATTACATAAACAAAGGAGGTGTGCCTTAATGGCAATCTGTTTAACTCCCAAACCAGAACATGCTCACATTTCATGTTCTAAAATCATACCAAATTCTCTGGGGGCAAATTTCAGTGAAGTTACTAAACAGCTGGTCAACCTAATTTTTGTCTATTCTCAAATATGTAGAWAAAGTATGCTACTTGATCGCTAGCCAAAATTTCATTTACTGCTTTAAGCCAATTTATCAACTGCCAGTAGATGGTGCTCAAACCAAGTAATTATCTTATACATTCACGTAGAGGGTTTCAGAGGAAGTGAACCTCAGTATACAACTGGCTAAACCAAAGCTGACTGGTTTACTCCTCTCCTTCCTGCCTCTATGGTGGCRTTTTCCAGGTGGCTAAGTCTTGGGGAGTGGAAGTCATCACTTGATGAATCTCATTTTATTGGTTGTCATTTATTGGTCAAACATCTATAAACAGGCAAATCAAACCCTATGAAACTGATGAGTGTTCAAAGCCTATCTCACTGTACCAAGTTGACATTTTACTCACCTTCTAACTCGGGTWTATTCCTTTTCTATCAGACTAGTAGTAGGATGTTTATGGTCCTGGCACTTCAACAGGRTAATAATCCTTTGAACTGACCTAAGACAGTTTACCAGACACGAGTGTTTTGAATCAGAATTTAAAACCAACTCGCCATACATAGATGAGCCTTATAAAATTTACATCTTATGTATCTTGTCCATCTTCCCAGGCTGGAACCAAAACTTTSTAGGACATGGTGGCTGTTTTTCATTAACTAGCTACTTAGGAGGCTTAAGAATGATCACCAACTTGTCTTCAATAGGGATATTTAGCCCAAAGGTCGCCCAACATGTGCAGTAGCTTGGCGTTTACAATCCCAATTCATAATTTTGCAGTCCTGATGTTACTTAGGGCCTCATATATGCCAAGCTCATGTTCTACAACCAAGCATCCCCAGCCCAAGAATCTTTTAGGAGAAACTCTTCCATTTTCAGGATTACTGTTAAAAACTACATGTACTGTTAAAAAATTCTATGTACAGGTTTACAGTTAAAAGTTCATGGCAAGTGTTTCAACTATTCAAATGCTCACATTTACCAACTGATCCAAACTAGAAATTTAAACGATGAAGAGGCTCTTTTCCTACCTAACCGTTTGCACTGCCAGTATTACCAATTACCCTGCCCAAGCCTGTATCACCTTTTTGAAGTTAGCTCACCCTACTCAGATTTGTAACTGTGCCTCTTCAAACTGTGGGTTAGCCTCTGGCCTGTTAATGTTACCCAACCTTGCTGCTTAGATAAAATTTCCTATTGAAAATCCAGTTCTTCATACTATTTTAATAATCCTCACTTAACTACTCCAATGCTTACAAATGTAAAAGTACGTTTCAATAGAAAACTTAAAAAGATTATCAATATATTATTTAGTATTAATGGAGCTACACAAAATTTCAGAAGTAACAGCCTTTAATATTACAGGATTTGGTCCTCTAAAGTAAATTACAAAGTTATTTTTCTACCCTAACCAAGTGTTGTAATCAATACACCCCTCCCAGATATTCACTAGGTACTTGAAGATCCCTCCCAGTTTCCCTTCTTAACTAAATTCCCAACCAGAAAACTTAATCATACTTATAAAGTTAACAGATTCTCAACACCACAAATAGGTTGAGGAACTCTTGCATTTGTATAAGTTCATGTTGACCAAAGAAGACACAGGTTTCTCATTAAACTTYGTTTTAATGGGTCTCAAAATTCTGTGACAGATTTTTGGTCAAGTTGTTTCCATTAAAAAGTACTGATTTTAAAAACTAATAACTTAAAACT